GTGGTGCAGACTTGCTGGAGTCCTTTGCTGTACCCAACCTCTGGAGTGAATGAACATGTAAGGAGTATTTCTTTGCAATGGCATAAGAAACAAAACTTTGCTAAAATTCTACTCTGATATTTTTTCTAGAGATATGCTTACGGTGATGGCCATGACATGCCTGTCCTTTAATCTGTAATTTCTAGTCGCTCACAGCTGTAAATATAATAAATTTCATTCCAACTTGTCAGCTGCAGTTTCTTGTTCATACACATGTACTACTATTTGGGGGAAAATTCCTACATAGTTGCCTGTCTGACTTGTCTATTTTTCTCTCCTCAGATCAAAGAACTAGTGTCTGAGTATGGCTTAGTTGTCATTTCAAGAGCTGGGTCTAATCCTGAAAAGTTTATATATGAGTCAGACGTGTTGTCAAAATATAAGGTATGCAGCAGCTCAGTTATTTCATACTTTTAGTTATACTTACCTTTACTAATGGATACCTCAAATTCCTTAATACACAAAATATATCCTGGACTATGTACATATTACAGGTTTGATTTCTGAATATTGAAAATAGCAGAGCTTGCCTTTGCCTTCTTGCTTATTTAATATTCAATTATGTGTACAAATATTATTTACAGTATAATCAATGATCAAGTCATGATGCTTTTTATTCAGAGCAACATCCATCTAGTGACAGAATGGATTCAGAATGAGATAAGTGCCACAAAGATCAGGTAAGAAAAATAAAGTGTATCAAGTAGAACAGTATCACTTTTTCAAAGGGAACCTTGGCTTTAGATGTGTCATTTTTACCTTTGCAGAAGGAAAAACATATTGTTTTTGCCAGGTTTCTTCTTCCTCTTCTTCTGTAAACAAATAAGGTCAATGACCTGGACCGGATGTGACTGTCACTGTCACCATGGTAACTGGTGCTGTAGCAGACACTATGTGGTTGGTGTTGGGTTACATTATGTACATGTAGCAGGACATATATATGAATATGTTTGAGTGAAAATAAACAGGTTCTGTAGTTTGTTAGGTTAAACCATGTTAAGGTAAACATTTTGCAGTTGCTTTGCAAATGTTGCCTTTCTAGTTGTCATATTCTGTCTGTCAGGTGTTGTACGTTTGTCCTACCGAATTGTAAATGTTGTGAATTTAGAAAGTGATGCAAATTGTTCTATTTGTCAGGCGATCCCTGAAGCGGAAGGAAAGTGTGAGGTACCTGGTCCCTGACGCTGTCATTAACTACATCAAGGAACATCAGCTGTACCAGCCAGATACTGAGACATCCTGAGGAGGCAACATGTGGACATATCTGACACAGAACCGTTATAAATCTAGTTATACTGTAAGGCAGGTAGAAGAGACAACATACTATACAATATGAGGGTCATGCAAGTAAAGAGCCAAACCTATATTTGAAATTCCCACTCTTCCGACTTAGACGGCTTTTATGAATACACGAATGTTTCTGGAATTCAAAATTCGCTGCAGTGATAACTTAAGGTATTTTATCATGAATTGAGTTGGCACGCTATATCAGTTTTGTCATTATTATAAAGCTTGCTAAAATTTGAGGATTTTAAGTTGGTTAATTAAAGTGAATCAAGCATTTGCCTTCTGTGAAAGTAGCTCCATCTCATATTTTATAACTATAATGGTGTACTACACAAGTATGCTAACAAGAGATAAAGATAATATAATTATAAACGAATTGCACAGGTCTGCTTAATGCTTGCTCAAAACAAAAAGTTCAACAACTTTTTGTGAAGTTTAGAAGACAAAGAAATTAAATTGGTGTGGCCTTAATATCATGTATTCTTGTATTGAGTCTTGTTGCCATAAATACTGGCATAGAAGGGTTGCACAGGGTTCAAAAGCTTTGCATTCAGTAAAACTCTTTCAGATTGTGTCACTTCATGGCAAGCATGTATTCTAATGATATGGAATGTTTTTGTAATGACTATAAGCAATGAAATTCCTGTGATTTCCTGTCACATTCTCTGAAAATTAACTCCTGAATAAAAACATATTGTGTTTTGTTTACATTGTCACTCCGGACTACTACAACTGTTATGTGTGGGGTGGATTTGAATTGGATGTGTGTATGTGTGAATGAAAAACTAAAACGTGTGAATGAAAAAGTTCTCACAGCACAACACTATTTTACATGTAGATCTGAACATTTATAATATTTTGCCACTATTCACTCATTCTCAATCCTAGCTGTAAGCTGTAGGGACAGTATATGTCTATCCACAAAAGTTCATCATCTGTAGCGGTCCTCATCATAATCATTATTATTATTGCCATAACTACTATATACCATATTCAATAAGATCCAATAATATCTCAAACTGATTAAAAGTGTACACTGTTCAAAATGTTGGTGTGTTGTACAATAAAGTACACTTTTACCAATTGAAATTACTACAATACAGATGCAGATACCAGATATCTGTGTGCTTCAGTCCACCATTCAAATGCTTGTATCATTCTACAGAATATCTTAACAGAATATCTAATTTCAGTAATAAAGCTTCATCATCTTCTTGCCATGTTTTAGTTGTGCTGACAGTCGTCTAAATGTTTCTAACATGTACGTGTAACACAACAAACACAACTGAAAGTCTTCTAATGGAATATGATGAAAAAATATTCTTATCTGTTATCTGCAGTTTCTGTACTGGACATGGAAGATACTTTACTTAATAATGATAAAGCTAGATAATTAGATTCAATTGCTTTTATCGAAGGGTTACTTTCATCCTGACCGTAAACCAGCCTTGCCATGGCCAGGGCTTCTTGGCAGAGACTGGTGGCTTTCCTGCGGTCACCAAGTTTGTACCAGGTTGACCCCAGATTATTGAGTGAGGCAGCAATGTCAGAATGTGCGGTACCCTGACCATACATACCCCTGTACATCTGCAGTGCCTGTTCATAGTAGCTAATTGCTTTTCTATAATTACCCTGATGCCACCAGGCCGACCCCAGGTTGTTGAGTGTGTTGGCAATGTCAGGATGTTCTGTACCATAGATACTCCTGTACATCTGCAGTGCATGTTCATAGTAGCTGATTGCTTCAGCGTAATTACCTAGATGCCTCCAGGCTGTCCCCAGGTTGTTGAGTGACATGGCAATGTCAGGATGTTCTGTACCCTGACCATAGACACTCCTGTACATCTGGAGTGCCTGTTCATTATAGCCAACTGCTTTCCTGAAATCACCCAGGTGACTCCAGGCTTCTCCCAGATTATTGAGTAAGTTGGCAATGTCAGGATGTTCTGTCCTCTGGCCATAGATACTCCTGTACATCTGCAGTGCCTGTTCATAGTAGCTGATTGCTTTCCTGTTATCACCCAGGTCACCCCAGGCTCCCCCCAGGTTGATGAGTGAGCCTGCAATGTAAGGATGTGGTGTGCTCTGACCATAGATAGCCTTAAACATCTGCAGTGCCTGTTCAAAGTGACTGATTGCTTTCCTACTATCATCCAGGTCAAGCCAGGCTGATCCCAGGTTGTTGAGTGAGGTGGCAATCTCAGGATGCTCTCTACCCTGGCCATATATACGCCTTCTCATCTGCAGTGCCTGTTCATAGTAGCTGATTGCTTTTCTGTTATCACCCAGGTGGCGCCAGGCTGACCCCAGGTTGTTGAGTGACTTAGCAATCAAAGGATGTGCTATACCCTGACCATAGATACTCCTGTGCATCATTAATGCCTGCTCATGGTAGTTGGCTGCTTTTCTGTGATCACACAGGTCACTCCAGGCTGTGCCCAGGTTGTTGAGTGAGATGGCAATGTAAGGATGTGCTGTACCCTGACCGTAGTTACTCCTATCAATCTGCAGTGCCTGTTCATAGTAGCTGATTGCTTTCCTGTAATTGCCCAGTTTACTCCAGGTTTCCCCCAGGTTATTGAGCGAGATGGCAATATGAGGACGTGCTATATCTTGACCATAGATACTCCTGTGCATCTGCAGTGCCTGCTCATGGTAGCTGATTGCTTTCCTGTAATCACCCAGGTCACTCCAGGCTGACCCCAGGTTGTCGAATGAGGTGGCAATGTGAGCATGTGCTGTACCCAGACCATAGATACTCCTGTACATCTGCAGTGCCTGCTTATAGTAGCTGATTGCTTTCCTGTTATCACCCAGGTAATGCCAGGCTCCCCCCAGGTTGCTGAGTAAGAGGGCTGTGTCATGATGTCCTGTATTCTGACCATAGATACCCCTACACAATTGTAGTGCCCCTTTAGTGTAATCAATCGATTTTTGGTAGTCTCCCATTATAAGCCAAATAGATCCAAGGGTTCCAAGCAAGTCCATTTTCTCAGTATCTATTTGCTCATCCTTTTTCAAGGCCTCAAGGAAATAACTAATAGCCAGCTGATATTTGCAGACTTCTTGGTACATCATTCCACATACTTTTGAAGAATTATTATATAATTCTGGGAATGAATAGTGATTTGCTTTCCCTTCAGATGATTCAGACAAAACCTTCTTCAGGGGGATTGAAGTATAGTAGTATCTGAAAAGCTGTTTTTCATTTTGTATGTAGAAAACCGGTTTCAGCATATTTGTCTGTGCTTCACCATTGGTCTGTATGGATGATTCCTGTCCATGCTGTTCTGTTTCCATTGAGGCCATAGCTGACAGGTTTTCCTTCTGTCCACCATTTGCCATGTATGTTCTGAGCCTGAGTTCTGCTGAGATGCTGGTAAGCACTGTCAGGTGGTGTGCATTGTTGGGACTGATCACTTGTTGATTTTTCATTTCTTCTATTGTCTCCCAAACGGTGGTAGGTATGATGCCTGAAGACAGTGCCAAGCTGTCCACTGCTAAAGCTGGGAGGCGATAGAGTTCTTTCTTTACATCAATCAGCCTTGCTGTACATGTAATTGTTTCCTCATTGCGGATCCTTTTCATATTTTCCTTCCTGGTCTCTTGTGCCAGTTGTTGAGCCATTTTACCCCCATCAGCTTGCAGTATCTTCCATGTGATGTCCATGTATGTGTCAATCAAATCCTGGTCCCCTGCTATCAGGTATGGGTTTCTCAAGATGGTAGCAAGGTGATAGCCCTCCTTCAGGTATAGTGTGACATCATCTTGTAGTTTTAAAACCATGTGTTCTGGGGTGCAGATGAGTTCACTGGGTTGTTTGTTCTTAGTTCCCTGCCTGCCCAGTGGAGTCTTGCTTGCCTTTGGCATAGAGCCATCAAAAGCAAGCCCACGGGGTGTAACAGAGTCATAGTACCAGTTGTCAAGTGGATTCTCAGAGTGGAAGTCATTGAGAGGTTTTATTCCCAGTGCTGGGAGAATGGTTTCTCCCAGGTTAACCACCTTGAGGTGTAGATAGTGGGTGAGGTTACGGAAATACTCAAGACATTCTTCATTTTCTTCTTCTACCAAGATTGCAAACTCCAGGTCTGAGTATGGAGTTACCAGTCCTGTGGCCTGTGAACCCAAACCTATCAGAGCATACTTACAGGGAAGGGGACCCATTGGCCAAATGCACTCTTCTACAAGCAGGCTGATGAACGCCTTCCTTTGTTGTGAAATTCTCTCAAACAACTGCCTGACAGCCTGAGCTCGTTTTGCCTCTATCTCTTTGACACATGGGTCATCCTCTGCATGAACATAAGGATCCAGCTGCTGGTCAATGGTTTCCATCTCCAGCTTGATCTGGTCCCGCATCTCCTTCAGCTGTTTCTTGTGTTTTTCTGTGTTGTGTTGAGCTACACAATGAACATCTAACATACATTTCAGAAACAACCTGTCTACTTCTCTGATAGCTGTTTCTATGTTACCATTGAGGACTTGATCCTCTGACCTGGCTATTGCTGCGTTGTAGAGTGCTGCTGCTTTAACAAAGTCTCCCCCGTCTCCTGTCTGCTGACCTCGCTTACTGTAGACATCCCCCAACTTGCACAGGGGCTCCACCTCTCTCCGGTACTGCTGGGCTGTGGGGTCTTGTAGAGAAACTAAGATTTTAGCCTTTTGTTTAAGATGAAAATATTGAAAACAGTGCCACAAAGTGGGGAACTTGTTGTTAAGCAAACCACCTTAAATTCTCTAGAGTTCATACTAACTGATGAGATTAGTAACTATTATGGCCTAAAATTAAGGTTTACAAATAATACTTTCATTGGTTACGCTTGACATTTATAAACTGTTTGCCTCAGTCTGTGAAGTAGATTTTCAGATACTCTTGCATTTTGCAGACTGATTTTACTTGACATCATACTAGGCAAAGTACTGGACATGAACATATACTGTACACAATAGTATTCCTCAGCTATGACCCAGCATTTTTGTATCACTTATTCAAATAAAAAAAATATGTAACAGATAAAGCATTTCCATGTGAAGTGAAAAGAGTGCTAGCATATCAAATGCTTACCTCTCACATGTACCAACTTGAGTGCATCTGCAAAGTGCTGCTCTGCTGAGTCCAGGTCTGCCCTGGCAAGGGAGGAGTCTCCTTCCTTAAGATGGTTGGTGTATTCTCTAAAAAATAAAATAAAACTAGAAAGGCCAATATTTGCTTTGGAGCAAATATAGCGATGGGTTCACCACATTTTACCACATGGCAGGGAAAGAATGAGAAACACAAGGGAAAACAATGCTTTACATTGATATAACTATAGTATGAAGTAACATACAACTAAGACTACAACAGTTGGATAGCTATCCCCTACATTATTGGTTAGGATTGCATAATGCAAACTGTTGATTTTCAAGATAAAAAGAAGCGTTCATAGCCCGCATTCCAATGCTGGAGCAGGAAAGCTTAAAATACCTACCAAAACACTTGAATACAGACATACTGTCAGTATGGCATGGCTCTGTGCAGGTGTAAATGAAGTTAAGCCAGTTAAATCCCAACAGCCAATCAGCAAGGAGAATAGAGGAAAGCTGCATGCCTATTGGTTGATGCCTTGCATGCCATTGTGATGACTCATGTCCAAATGTGGTAAACACTGCACACTTACACAGTAATACATTAGCTATTACACAGCCAAAAAACTCAAATAAAACCATTCTAAAAGCCTGTATCACAATAATTTAAAAAACGCCTAGGGGTATTTGCCCACTGTACCTCCATACCAAATTTCAGGACCTTAGGCCCTAAAATGAAGAAGCTGAATCCATTTAAAGATATGGCAGGAGGAGAAGGAGGAGGAGGAGAAGAAGAAGAAGAAACATCAGAAAAAGCAATATGGTTTCACCACACCACTTCGTGGTGTGGTGAACCCATAATAAAGCAAATCAAAACAAAACAAAAGGTTTTTGGGACTTACATGAGGTGAACATTTTGATATTCTTTTATGGACTAGTATTTTTTCTGCATGGTGACTCAGATATGTAGATAGAGTTTGCTTGTCCTCTAGTTTGTAGTAAATTTCCCCACCTTGTACTGTCTGCAGCATGGAGATGTTGGTCCTGAGTGTCAGTTCTTGTGATGTTCTCAGACCGGTGCCTCATGTGTGGGCTTCTTTCTCTTGGTCTTGGTTTCTTTGATGATGGTTTCTGTATGATTTGAGCCATATTTGTCAATATCTACAATGCATTTGTTTGAGTACTACAATTGCTGCATGACATCGTATACTAGTATATGTAGTAACTGTTGTGTATGTATGATATCCCTGTTTGATATCTATGGCTTTGTATATCGCTTGATGTGATGGCCTTTATCGTTTATGTAAATGTTACTGATAATCATATCCTTCCTAAAAGTGGGGATCCCTAAGAACACCTCGAGAGTCCACACTGCTAACAGAAGTCTCTGGAAACAACTTTCTACATGACATGAAGACTGAGTACGATTGATTGATTGATTGATTGATTGATTGATTCCTAAAACTATTTACCCTTTTCACTGCTTCCCTGATTTTGTCCGTGTACCTGATGCGATGTTCCAGAGTCAGTTTTGTCGCAGGACCCCCACATGTCAGGGCCTTGCTGTACATGGCAGATGCCTTGGAGAACTGGGATACATCAGAGGTTGTCTTGCCTTTCTCAAGGTAGAAATCTCCAAGGGATTTTAGAACCTCAAGCTCCAAGAACATGTCACTGTTCGCAATTGCAGTAACTAACATGTCTGTGTAAGTCTGTTCAAAGGAATCTCTGACACTTCTGTCCAGTTTGTCACAAATCTCTGTCACCCTTAAGATATTACTGTCCGCAGTGCCCCAGTAGTCTGGTGACAACCACCGGAAGTGTGGACTGTACCCCTGTAGCAGTTGTCTGGAGAGTTTCTCCATGTAGCGGATACGATGTTCCACTGTTTCTCCCACGTCTGGATCTTTGCAGCGCAGTAAGGCAGCAGCATACAGAGCAGCAGCCTTGTCAAACTCTGTTGAATTTTTACTGAGCGTGCCTTTCTCAAGTTGCAGGTCTCCTAGACTTTTCAAAACTTCTACTTCTATAAAGTCATCCTTTCCAAGAATGGCTTCTCTCAGAGTCCTACCATACCCGACTTCTTGTCCATGTTGACTCTTGAGGCACAATTCCAATTTCTGTAGCTTGTTGGCTAGACTGGTCATCTTGGTTTCAGACATATTCCAGTTTTAATCCCTATACTACTGGTGTGAACCTTTAATAAGAGGAAAGAACAATTTGTTATAAATGACAAAATTTATTTAGTTCTGTCAAACCTCAGTAGCACAAACTGTCTAAATCTCACTTAACTTTACATGTAGATGTCTTAACTTGTCTAAATCTCACCTGGATGTCTGAGACGTGTCTTAAGGGGGCACACCCCAGTTTATTTTTTTTCTCAATTCGATTCTGCATACCCTCAACTCTAGCGACAGTCTCTTTCAGGAAATATCTCTTTTAAAAGCCAAAACACTGTGTTTGCAAGTGAAGGATATCCCTCTGGCTACGAGAACAATAGAATTTCAATTTCTTTCACCTCTCACATTTAAGTAAATTTTAAGGGGAAAAAGAATTTTTCGATGAAAAATGATGCCAAAAATTGACCATCTTCACATGGAATTAGACCCATCACCCAGAATTTAGCCACCAATATGACTTATATGGTCGGAAAGAGAAAACCCTTTATGTATTATCAAGAAAAGTATAAAGAAAATCCTAACACTGAGATTATCACAATAGCCCATCGCGCAAGGCATAGCAACAGCACCCCCAGAACGCATACAACGCATATCTAGGTCAAACCGAAGCACCGCGCTGAAGGCGAAAGGACACCCGGAAGTAAGCCTCGGGCCCGAAATCAATTTTCACCCAAAACACGCCACTAATGAATCTTACACTTTTCAGCCATGTTAGTAGTTAACACCATTTTGCAGCAGATTATGAGAAATGTTAACTCAAACATGAACCATAGGAACCCCTTCGTCACTTTTTTCCGAGCACTATACCTCGGAAGAATTGGTGTGTGCACCGTAAATTGTACATGGACGTCTGAGACACGTCTAAATCTCACCTGGATGTCTGAAACATTCTAAGTCACACCTGGATGTCCGAGGCATATCTTAAACTCACCTTGATGCCTGAGACTTGTCTAAATCTCACCTGGATGTCTGAGACTACACAGCTATAAACTTGGGTAGAGACTTGTCCGTGTTTCTCTCTGTACTGTGAGAGTTCCCCTCTGACTCAGGTACGTGGGACTTTCCATTATGTCATGCCTAGGTCAACATGCTTTTGCATAGCTAGACTGGAAGGCCTTGTGTTACCTGATATGTTTACACCATGGTTCACTGGACTCTATGAATGTTTACATACTGAAGGGATGGGGAACTTGTACATATGCATGGCGTTTTCTCACGGCCGGTTAAGCCAACCAATTACAGCCAACCTTGGTCCCAACCTACAGCTACCGCCTAGAAAAAAACTGCCAACCCTAGCCTTTTTTTGTGTACACCCAGCAAGGGACATAAATATTTCGAGCTGATCGACCTTTTCTAGCTCCATAATCTGACACCTGAGTGATGAAACATTGTACAATCGGGTTTACAACATTGATATTGAAAATATAGGAAACTGGAAACATAACATTTTTCCTGAGCCTTAGGGAATCAATTCTGATCATCTCCTCTAAACTATCTCCTCACCTCACCGGTCCCATAGCAGACTGTCCTGCCGTCGGGGCAATTAAACTGTCAACCAGACTTATCCACCCAGGGCGGTTCTCAGCTAGACTTGTCAGGTGACTCACATGCCAATAATGAAAATCCCTTCATACCATCTCAAACACAGACACCAGGGTAGCTTCATTTTTGGAAGTTTTATAATCAAAGCAAAATATTTTAATGTATTATGCACATTTTATTCATAGAAGGAACACATTTGTTCATAGCAATTTTGTGGCACAAAAGCTGCAGTCATAATTATACTTATTATATCATGCGTGTCATAACCATACATATCATATCATGCTCGGAAAACAACAGATTTTTCTAAGTACTAAATTATGAATATCTGTCAGTGAGAATTATACTTTTCCCCAACAAACATGATTTCAATAGACGTTAGAAACAACAGAATAAATAGATACATCTAAAGACATCACATCATATTATATATATATAACTTGTAGAAATACTGCCTAAAATCTCCAAGGATAATATTCTCAGATTTTGTCTTGATGTTATCCATTTTCATCATACGCTTGGCATCACCTAGCAGCCTTTGGAAATAAGAAAAATACGGTCACTGATTTAAGATGATCAGATAAATCAGGCATTTGATTAACTTAGGCTGGATCCCTATGTACATAAAACATTAAACGATTATCTACTTTATGCTACATGTTTTTTTTTATTTTATTTTGGGGTAAAAGTATAGTTATTACATTTATCAGTATCACACCCAAAACATACCTCCGTCCCGGTGTGTACGCATTTCACTTCGCCTCATCATGTTGAACTATGAAATGGTCCCCCAAATCATCGTCACTAGAACATCTTTAGAAGCCAATCATCATGATAGTAACTGCTTATACCATACGTCAATGAGTGGCATACCATTCCTAGACGTGTAAAGAGCATTAGAAATGTCAACACCAGAGAAAAGAGCAGACCAAAGACGGCAGTAACGATGAAATGATCACCGTGATTCAATTTAGTAGCTAATCATAAACATCTTAGATTCATACGTCATTGAGTGGCATACAATTCATAGACAAGACGTGTTTTATAAACTTCGCCATCAGAGATCTAGAAGAGAGGAGACGAAAGAGGGTAGTAACGATAAAAGATTTGAACGATGAAACGGTCCCTCCAATCATCGTCATTCAAAGCAGCCAATCATAAACATCTAAGTTTCATACGTCATTGAGTGGATTGCCATTCGTAGACGTGTAGATAGTGCGTTTGGAACTTCGCCAGAGAGAGGCGACCATTGCATCTTGCAGCAATGATGACAGTCGGCCAGGCTTTGCGTGTGGCCGTGGCAACGATTCTTTTCACCCAGTTTGTTGTTCAGGCATCAGGAGCCATTGTCATGACCGGGGTAAGTTTGTCCATCTGCTCATTTGCATAAACTGCCGCTTTATGCTGGGGTCACATGTCCAAACCGGGACCCGACCGGACAGCTTTCGGGAACGAAAAGTACGATGTAAAAGAGAAGAAAACACATATGTTTTAGAAACCAATCATTAGATACAAGTTGTGTTATATTCTTGATTTGTTGAATTATTACCTTTTCGTTGATGCAAACAGCCCGGCTGGGCCCCGGTTTGGAAATGTTATCTCAGCATTACTTGCTTTAATACTCGTTCCTAGACAAAAACTGGTGTCACACTTTGAATGCAATATTGTTGTGAACTTTCCGTATTATTATATTGCTGTCGGTTAATGACGGTTACGAATTATGGCCAGGTAATGAGATACGATCGAGAAAACAAGCAACTGGATTCTAACTCAAAATCTATCCATTCGCTTCAATAACTGTTTTTCTGGAGTGTTTCATTTTTGCCATAAGTAGTAATGTGGTTGTCAAGGTCTGGGTTTGGCAGCAGCATCGAACACTACATGTAGTATGCAAGCAGTTTAGTATACAGTACATGTGTACATGTATGTGTTAATTATAACGCCACAAACCTTTATATCATATACGCTTGTAGCTTTGATATGTTCCAGGGTAAGATCGTCACCTGTATGAACACGCGGTTCACGTCAAGCGAGTCATTAAAACCGTTATGGACCGTAAGGAGCTATTGAGGCCTGTCTGAACACCTCTTCGTTCACTTTAACGACGTCCATTTAGTGTTCTTGATGTGAAGAATACTGCAGCTGCAGTTACGTTATGTTCAGCCGCATGTGCAAAGAACCGATAAAGACCACAATTTTATATTTGTAACGAGTCTAGGTACTGAAATTGCCTATAATCATAGCAAGTGAATAATTCACGACAGTGAATCACACCGTAATCGCATACGTAAGTAACTGATTAATGAGGATAATTTCTCACTTATAATTCTCAAGACGTGGGGTTCTGTAATTACCTCTCTAGTCGAAACTTATTGACAATTTAGGGCAATTTTACGTCCAAATTGTTTGTTAGGCAGCGCTTTCGCCCCAATCATTTGTTTCACTGATGTGTAATTGAGAAAGCGCATTAGAATTCACATCAATGCGCACGTTGAAATGTTTTTCGTATCCCGAAGCAAGGTGAAACATGTAAGCTGGCCTTGTGGTTAGGGTTGTTGACATAAAATCTAAAGGTTCTGGGTTAGTATTCTTACCAGGCCCCAATGTTTTGTCGTTGGGAACGGCACTTAAGCTTCAACGTCTATTTTCTCAGAAGACTTAGTTGAAGATTAGGGGACGACTTAGTTGAAGATTAGGGGACGACTTAGTTGAAGATTAGGGGACGACTTAGTTGAAGATTAGGGGCGACTTTTTTTGAAGATTATGGACGATTTTGGTGACGATTATGGACGATTTTGTTGAACATTAGGGACGACTTTGGTGAAGATTATAATTAGAGACGTCATCTTGGATAAGACGTAAAGCCTTCACGAAGGTACACTTCTGAAACAAATGGCAAGCTGGTCTTGTGGTTAGGATTGTCGACTTCAAATCCGAAGATCCTAGGTTCGAATCTCTGGCAGACCTCGATTATTGTTGTGTCCTTAGGAAAGGCCGACTTTTCGATCAACTCAGGTGTAAATTAATACCTAGCTTTGGTCAGGTTAGGTTAGCCTGGACGTCCTCTCGGATAGGGCATAAAGCCGGAGATCCCGTGTTTGGGGAGAGCCACACCTCAAGCACGTTGAAGATCCCACCACAGAAAAATAATAAAAACCTTTTTAGAAAAGATTAGGGGTCCTTCCTGGTGTGAGTGGTTTAAACATAAAGTCCGGTCTATGGATTGACATCTTAAATTTACGTATACGTGGAGATTTGCATCAAGCTTGTGCAAATTTATAACGTCATGTCCCACATATATTTTATTATGGTGTCTCATAAGCCCACACGGGTTGGGCGCATAACGCGCAAGACACGTTCATTCATTCATTGTTCATTTATTCATTCGTTCATTTATTCGTTCATTCACAGGTGTGCCAAAATGACGTGGAGTGCATTGCAGAGCGAGGTCAGGGGTCATGCTGTGCGCCCTTCGTCACATCCGGGATACTTTCCGGCATCCCCGTCTGCAAACCACCTGCCACTGAGGGGGACGACTGTCACCTCATCACTGAAGCGTTAGTTTAAACTTAGTTATCTCATATTTGCTGACAGCTAACACATCGCAGTCGTCCCTCATGATAAGTAAGACATCTGGAGCATAGTTACTCTTCAAGCAGTAATGTGTGTATTCATACGTACATACATATAACGTTACATGTAACGTTACATACACACAGACAGACATACAAACGCTACCAAAAAGCAAAGTTTACAGAGGCTAAATGTTGTTCACTGACTGAATTAAGTTCTAAACAGGAACTAAGCTCTACTCTCCAAGCAGAGGTTTGGGCATTGGCTTAGATTGGGCCTGTTTTTAGGCTTTTTTATCAGGCTTTCTTTTTGTACTGGTGTCTTTTTAAACAAAAAAATGTTTGACCAAAACGCATTGAGGCTTATTAACTCGATCGACGCGTTAATAAAACTATGTGTTTTTGTGTTTGTCTCTACAGGTTCATCCCGTACCCGCACACCGGTCCCCGGTACTACTGGCAGTGCCCTTGCGGGACGGGTCTGAGGTGCATTCCCGTCAGACGAGGCGAAGTCATCGGCAAATGCTGGCGGCTGAGACGTGGCTAACTTGGCAAATGAGTTGGAATATGAGTAGTACGAAAATTCATGCGCGCACGGATGTCATCAATATACTAATCAAATCAACATGGCCTTATTCAGAGGTTAAAACACCACCGTTGATAAATAAAAAGTAATAAACATAATAATCATGCACAACAAACCAGACACTAGACTTGGTTGCAAGGAGTGACAATGGGCTTTAATCTATGAGAATAAAATTACAACTTTGCTTGAGAATAGTACAACACGTTAGTCAGAACTTTGTAAGTGAATGGTTGGCTCCAGTGAAACATCATTATATCAGGGACAACATGGTTTTTAATAAATGGCAATCCAAATATTGCCCATTGGAAAGCTTAGTAAAATTCTATATTGCTATTCTACTCTACTCTACTCTGTTATTGTATTTTAACTTTAATCTACGGATACTATATAATATATGGATGACATCCTCTGGGAACCCAAAACTGATGTGAGGGTGCGAATATATAATAATAAAAAAACGTTTGGCCCCCAAAAAGTTGCCTTCATTATGAAATCTACGTGGTCATAAAGGTTGAACAAACACCAAACTTCACATTTTCTTCTTTTCCTGAATTGATTCCCGTATTCTATGACATTACGTTAGTATCGTTTTCCAATACTTTAATACTTTTTCTTTGCAGCATACGACATATATTCGCTCATTTTGTACGGTTTACAGTATGGTCGAAAACTTTTTTTGGGGGGAAACGGACGAAAATGTTTACTTTGAAGCAAACCTTGCACCATTGAAGAGTACAATGTATATATCTATCTCTGAACTCATAGCGACAGCAATCGATGGGAACAACAATGTGATTGGCAGGACAGGGCTGAACGGTCTCTTTCTTCACCTTTCCAAAGGCATTTTCCCTGGCACCCGAATGCTGATCATGAGTGGGATTTTATAATAACACTGGATGAAATATATCTGTCCATCAGAGGACGTTTTCCTTGGTCAATCATATTCTCTACCTAATGACAGTCCTGAAAGAAGCGGCAGGCCACTAAGGTTTCGTTAACTGAAAACGCTGTTGCACAAAATGTATCAAATATAATAATTGTTCGCTGTAACGTTAGAGGGCTTTGGCTTTGTCATAGCTGTGCGGCATGCGGTGTATCTTATTACAGCCGGTGGGCGCTACCAAACCAAGTGCACAGAGGGGAGGCAAAATCCACAACGAACTATTTTGATGAGTCTGTAATACTTTATCATGATAAAACCCAGTGAAGGTAACGCTAGATGGATGTTTCTAGCTAAAGTGTAATCGCTTTGTAACGTTACTGACTGTTGACGTGTTGTCGTGCTCACTGTGACAATGACCTCAACGTGTGATAATGCATGCCAAGTTGAGCCAGTCCCATCCAGCCCATCGGCCATTCACCTCTATCGTCCATTTTGACAAGACTTTTCTCAAGACATCTCTAGAAAAAAAGTCAGTTGATGCTAGATCTTCAAATTGTGGATAACGCCTTGAGTGATTTCATGATGGCTGCCGTCTGATTCTTCTGATCGCAGTTCAAGTGGCTCACCAGTTGAGTCCAAACAACTCTGTGGTTAGTTAGTTTTTCGTGACTGGTTGTTTTTCCTGCCGAAAACGGAGCAAAAGGACAAGATGTCTAGCCTGTGCTTGGAAAGGTATTATCCAGTCTATTACCTATCTAACCTACATTGATCTTTCTTGCAGGTAATCACGGAAGGTAGGTTGATAAACTTTGCGTCAACGTTGAATCATTACTAGCGTTATGGGGAGGGGGCAGGAACAAAAT